CCCCAAAACCCCAAAACCCCAAAACCCCAAAACCCCAAAACCCCTGAAACGGAAGATTATATTGGATTGTATTGCAGATATCAAAATTTCCTCAGAATTATTCTAGCATGATGTGCTTATTGATGTATAGCTTCCATTCTTTGTCTTCTGGAGGATATCTATACTCTTCGTCACTGTAAGCTTTCTGAATGAAGTCGGTTTCGAAGAGTTCGTCGGCTGTTAGTCTATTTCTGAAATCAACCTGAAGAGAATATTGAAGGAATTGCATGGCTTCATATGAAATTTTACGTTCATTTGTGTATGAAGTGGTGTTTGTCCATAATTTTCTAAGTCCTATAGTGATCGTTGTGAAAATTTACCTTCTAGATTTCTTGCTTTAGCTTGGGTGAAGATAGGTTCACCAAATAAAAGCTCGTAGCAGATAATTCCAACTGAAAGAATATCAGCTTTGGAGTTATAATATCCACTTTCACACTCTGGGGCTCTATAAAGGGGAGTTCCTGCTCCTTCAGTCATGGTAAGACCTTCCTCTCTTCCCATTCCCAAATCAGCAATTACAACCGAGTAAACATTAAACTTTTCGTGGTTCCAAACTTCATGGAATCTTGACTGAAGAGATTTATTTGGCATCATGCATGGGAAATGCATCAGCACATTGTCAGGCTTAAGATCTCTATGAACATATTTCTTGTCATGAAGTTCCATTAATCCAATTAAAACCTGGTGCAAAATCTGTGCGGCAAGCTTCTCGGGGATATTTTCTTTCCCCTCGACTACAGAGGTAAGCATACCTCCATTATAGAAGTGGAAAAAGAAGTATACAACTTGGTCAACCTTGACTGCACAGTAAAGATAGATATTGTGACTACTCTTAACTGTGTTACTGAGTTTGACCTCTCTTTCCTTCATTTCTTCGTATTCCTCAGGATACTGAAGCTTGACTCTCTTGCAAGCAAAGACTTGGGGAAGTTTCTTCTTCAGTTCTGCATCACAGTCTCCAAGATATGCAATGAAGACTTCTCCTGTAAGAAAATGTCAGATTATGAGCCAAATAGTTTCATATTACAAAAGATTATGACAATTACCAAAAACTCCAGCTCCGATCTTCTTCTCAAGGACGAACTGGGCATTTTTTCCGTCTAAGTCAGTGTACTTAATAACCTTTTCTCTTGGCATATTTATTAAATAATAAAAATAGGTTAGATGGGGTTTTGGGGTTTTGGGGTTTTGGGGTTTTGGGG